GTTTCTAAACAGAGCTGCTTTCAAATTATACACCAGCGCTAACAAAAGCAAAGCGCAGGCACAAATATGAGCCCCATATGTAATTTTAAACTTCCTAGTAACCGTATTAAGTAAGTGAAACAAACCAGATACAATTGATTTTAATAATATACTTTATTTAATCCCATATATTCAAAATACTATTATTTAGACAATCAATATAAAAATCATTAATGAGACGGTTTACATTTTACATTCTTTTTTTCTTTGTAACTAAGTCTTCAAAATCAGGTGTGTATTTTATACATCCAGCACGTCTCAATCCAGAGAAGCCCTATTTCACTTGTCTAGTGGCCGCATGTGGCTAGTGGCTAGTGTAATGGACAGTGAGGTTCGAGATCTTCCACTACCGAACTGAGTGGCCTTGGACAAGTCATTTACCCATTCCACGTCTTTTTATTTCTTTACAAAATGGAGTTATATAAAAACAGCTGCATCATAAGACTAAAGGTGACCTTAAGTAAATTCACAAAGAACAATGTCTGGTGGATGTTTGGCATGATGTTATCATTATTACCCTGTCCGAGATTGGGTTATTCAACTAGCCACCGCCTGTCCTCTATTAATTCAAATCGTGAATTAAAACAAAGTTTAAAATGCACATTTCCCTTGTATTTTAAAAAATTTCTGGTCATCTTTGCTCTCCTCCTCTCTCTCCTCTTTCCTCTCTCCTCTGTTCTCTCTCTTCTCTCCTCCCCACTCCTTGGTGCTGCTCTGCAGCGTCCCTGCCTCACCAATAAAGACCTTTCATACAAAAAAAAAATTTCTGGTCAATCCTGTAACCAAAAGGTTAACATAAGAGTTACAGGATATTCTCAGGAATATCTGATGGCTTGATTAATTCTTGAGATAAAGATCTGGAGGTTTTATATATTTACTATCAAGATAGAGAAATATAGGTCCAGGTTACAGTCTAGAAATGAAAAACTCATTACAATAGGATTGCCAAGAAACCAAAAACAGAACAGCCTGGAAAATACTGTTAAGCTTATCGTTTACTGATCCTCAACTACAACCAAACACTCAGCAAAGGACTTTTCCTAAGTTCATTCCCTTAACAAGAGCCCAAAAGAAACAGGCAAACCTCTGTAGAGTGGTAATTCTCAACTTCATTAAAAATAATTTTAAAAGGGAGGTCCAGAGTAGCTGACATAGTTGCCAAGCTGATAAAGCTACTAGGTGGTTTTTTTTTTTTTTTAATCTCTCTGATCCTCTGATCCTCCTCTTCTCCTTCATCAATACAGCCTGACACGGGCTGGGGTGATGGGCTTGGGACTGGCCACGCTGCGCAGAAGCACGAACTGAGTGGTTTAGAGTGAAACGCTTCCTCTCTCTGAGCTGCCCATAAAAGGGCAAACCCAGATGAGAGTGTAGAAAAGGAAACCATTTTCTATTCTACCTCAACCCTTGAACTGAAGGTTTATTTCTCTGTGGTGTTTAGAAAACACAACAGGCACAAACTAGTTCTTTCATTCCATAAAGTGAGAAGACCAGATTGAGTCACAACTACTCTTTTTATTAGTTTTATTTATTAAGTGACTGGCAACTCTCTGGTGTAGTCTGGTCTTGCAGGTAACAGGCAAGGAAAAGTGAGGGAATAAGTTTTGGGGCTTTTTTTTTTTTTTTTTTTGGTGCAGTGGTAAGAGCAAAACTGAGACACGAGTAGCTGCTCCCAAAACAACCATCCCCAAAGAGCACGTGGCCCTTGTTATATCTGGCTGGCTCAGCAACTCTCCAAGTTATGGGGCTACAGGGGATGCTGTCTAGACCAGTTCTTTGGCCCTGGGGTTGGCAGAACATAGAACCTGAAAGCCAAAGCATGGTGCAAACATCTCTCTGCATTTTTTCTGGTAGACAGTCAAGCTGGATGGAAACTAAATCTCCAACAATTACCAAATAGCAATAAACAAGAGAATAAAAAGACTGTACGGGGCTTTCTTTAGTCCTGGATAGATGTGCCCTGGCTCTTGAGCTCTAGTACATGACATTTCTGAAGCGACAGTCTTTAAGATAAAGAACACAAAGGGCAATCGGAAAGGTGGTGTGACTTTTCCAGCTTGAGAACATTCTTGTTGCGTCACAGGTGTTTTCTAGGTTCAGTGATGGTACTGATAGGAAAAAGACGTCAACATATCATTGAAATAATTTATTTACCACTAGAGCACCACAAAAACAGACATACATCGTGTTAAAATACAGCGTAATTGGTCATCAAAATACAAAACAGCTATTCTTATATTCCATTTTTTAAAACCATGCCAACCATAAAATTGTACTGCTGCTTAACACACATTAATAAAAACTGCTACCCCACACCCAGACTAACCCTGATTCTTTCCCACCTCCCTCCACCCCCATGGCAATATTTACTTATGGGAAATAAAGACCTTATTAGAACCCCCTCCCCCAATTAAAAAAAAAAAACAAGATTCAAGAGATTTTAAAATAGAGTATTTAAAATATTATCAGTGCATTCATGAGGAAAGACAAAGTAATACAAAACAAAAATGTCATCCTATCTGAGAGGGAAATACCTGCAGAAATAAAAGGGAATGACACAGAAGTGAGATCAAAGTGGAAGACAGCACGATAGTCACCACTCTCAGATCTGGCGCTGGGCTACATCCAACACAAGGGGGGTTGCGCTGGCTTTTCCAGTTTTCAAACTTGCAAACCCAATTCTTCACACTTTAATTAACAGTCAAGAAATTCCAAAACAGAAGTGTACCTTACCAAACAACTTCACTTCAGATTCCCACCTCGCCATGCTGTCCTTTAGGTGAAGCTGCAAAAATGTCATTGTTCTGCCTATTAATTTTTATCTTACAGTTAAGGGAGTGAGAAGTGACAAATTGACACAGCTTACAAACCCAGAGCGAGGATACCTCCCTGCACATTATTTATTAAAACAAGATAAACGCTGACCTCGGATATAGATAACTCTCACTCAGAGGAAAGAAAGAATGTTTTGATCATCACACTTGACTTGTGCCTTTTTGTCTTCAAAAAACATTTATATCAAACCTTAACCTTAATGAAATAAACAAAATGACTTCGGCTGACCTGGACTTTTTTCCTTTTTGAAAAATCAACTCTAATGTACACAGGTCACTACGAAGGTTTGGAGACTGTTACGGTCCATTATTTCACTTCCAAGAAACACCGTCAACAGCGTCTTTTCCGAGTCACCCGAGCAAGTTTCAACCCGCTCAGCTTATCGGTGTAGCTGGGAGGGCTTCATCCGCTTCCGTCCATGCAGATTTCATGTTTCTTGATTTTTGTGTCTCTCATAACTTTTGTAATGACCCATGTCTATCTGTCAATTTTCCCCTGAACACTAAAAAATCTGATTAAAGGAAAAGATGTTTCCTACGAACGGTCTACTTTTTAAACAACAGTAGAACTATGTGTAAATACTGATTGAACCAAGGTAGAGAAACTTTTCTTAACTTAGTTGCCAAGATTCTGAGTTTTAGTCAGATCCTTAAACTCTTGCCAAAACTAAAATATTTCTATGTATCAGGAACATTCCCCATTTTCCTGACACAGAAGCTTTCAACACTTTACACTTCAACAGGGATGATGCTGAGAAGATGAAGGAAGACCACTGAACTTGAATCTATCCTTTCTGTAAAAGGAAAAAAAAAAAAAAGGACAAGTAGATCCAGGTAGCTTATGTCCTAGTAATGGATAATACACAAAGCTCAAGTAGAGAAAATACTAACAAAAATGTATTTGTAGTGCAAGTCAAAAGACAGGGGCTTTATTCAAAAGTACTGGCCAGCTAAAGGAAACGTACAATTGTGAGTGATCATTAAAAAGAGCCCAAATTTAAGTCCAATCTAAATCATAGCTGACATTATTACAGAATATAAAAAATATGGTAAAAATTTACACATTACACATAAAGTAGTTAATGTTCTGATTTAATAGTTTGCAAAAGAGATCTGCAGATGTGTTTTCAATTATGCTGGCTTCTATACCCATCTATTTTAATAATATAGGTACGGTTACATATACCAAAAGAAAGGAAAAAAACCTATAGCATAGCTAAACAGCAATACTTTAAGGTCCAAAATTCAACCAGTACATGTCAAAACATTTCAACATTTCACTGGTTTACTACACTGACAAAGAACCATTTACAATTAAAAAGAAAAAGAAAATCTTACAGAATTATTCTGACTGAAAGTTTCTTTTATTAACAGGCTTTTTTCGTTTTTGGATCTTACAAGAAGCTTCCTTAGGCGGTTGGTACAGAACATGTGTTTTCAGGGTCTTTATCTTAATGCAGACTTACTTGGTCATATAATAACTCACTTGGGTTTTCATCCCATTAATATGACCTCTTTTTTTCTGGCTCGTTTGAGTTCAGGTTCCTTAAGCCATCCATGAGTTTCTGGCAAAGTATTTGGTCTCCACTTTATACACCTGTTTTATTTTCCAAGGGCAATGAAACGTTCATTATATAGTAACACACAATAAATAACTCACTGTTAACTCTAAGAGTGAGACTGGGGAGAGTGCCTATTGCATAGCAATACAGAAAAATCAAGTGAGGGGTGGGATGGGAACGGTACGTACAGCGACTCCACTGAACGGGATTTTTCCTGTTTTGTTTTTTTGTTTGTTTGTTCACATAATTAACACTAACAAATTCTTCCAGTGTTTATTTTTTTCTTGAAAAAAAAAAAAAGATTTTGCTTCTTGTCTCTCTCGCTTACGAAGTAGGTGAAATGTAGAATAAGGCCTTCATCTTTTTTTGTTTCAGATGCCGGTTGTAACAATCAGAACACAAACTTCCAAAGTGTTTGAACTAGTACCGCTTTTTCAAATTTTTTTTTGAACACCGATGACCCAAGGCTCTCTTAGGTTTTCTTGTCAACAAACATCATCATTGTGGTCGTCCTCGTCATCATCATCATCACTGTGATTTTCGTCTTGCCATCGTTCCAAGACTTTTAGCTGCATTTGCAAGACTTCACGATCATGTTGGAAAGATGTTCGATTTTGGGGGTTTTGCCGATATAGTAGAGAATGGTGAGTGGTTCTAAATCTTGGGGCACGCAGCAAGGAGCCGCAGATGCCTCTGGATTTAAGTTGTGATATAAGCCGAGAATCTGAAAGGACACAGGAGGGGAGAGGAGGGACAGCAGACGGAAGAGGGAAAACAGAAAAAAGCAATTATTTTCTTAAAGAACCATTCCATACTGTTATCAGCCACATTGAGTCAGCAATTTAAATTCCTTTCGGTTTATACTTTCCTTTTCTTAACTCTTAATTATGGCCCAATTGGTTATGTGTCCTTAGCAATCCCCTAATTCGCTTTTTTTTCCATACAGAATGGTTTTCTTCATACATCTTAAAAAAATGATTTTATAAAAATCAGACTGGAAGGAATTGCTCATTCAACAGATTTCCTAGAGTTTCTAATTACTCTTCACTCTGACCACTGCTTCACCGCACACCTTTCCCAGGCCCTTGTAGAATTTGACGTGGTCCTGTTTCTATACTACTTTGTAAATGAAGTTGTTCCATTAGTATATATTTTAAATTCCCATCTAGATTAAGAATTCCCTCGAGGTCAGGGCTTCTACAATTTGTGCTGTTTTGACCTTGCAGCCCTAGTACGTCTTCACTGGACAAAGTAAGACTTGTGCCTTGTGCAGTAATGAATACTTGGATATGTAGAAGAATAAAATCTTTTAAAGTCTCAGAGCCAGGTGCAATGGCACACATCTATAATCCTAGCATTGTTGGAGGCCAAGGTGGGTGGGGTGTGTTGCCTTAGCTCAGGAGTTCGAGACCAGCCTGAGCAAGAGTAAGACTCTGTCTCTAAAAAATAGCTGGGTACTGGGCAGGTGCCTATAGTCCCAGTTACTTGGGAGGCTGAGGCAAGAGAATCTCTTGAGCCGGAGAGTTTGGGGTTGCTGTGAGCTGTGACACCACCACACTCTACAGAGGGTGACAAAGTGAGACTGTCTCAAAAAAATAAAGTCTCTTCATTTACCATTACTTTATAAATACAATGCTAAGAATGACATACAAAGAAATCTCTATTCTTAATTATCCACTTTCTTTCATTTTGCTGAGAACAATAATTAATAATAATAATAAAATAATAAACCCTGCATTAAAGTTCCACGTGATAAATGGTAGCTGAGCCAGAGGAGTGAATAGCAATCCCTAAAACAGAATGAAGAGAAATTTCTATAGTTAATCTCATGCCTTTAACCCCATTCTAAATCAGAGGGTGTATGACTTTGAGTAATGGAAATCTGTCAGTTCTCTGCTGATGATACAGAGACATTTCCAAGGATGCCATTAATATGTTAGTCAAACAGCCAGTGACCTTTTCCTCGAGATTCACTGCAATTTTTTCAGCCTAAGACAGAAGATCTGTTCAGCCCGGCAACACTGACTACTTTATTAAGCTACCTCTGGCTTTTTGGGTAACTGTCCAAACCACATATTTGTGACCATGACAGTTATTCTTCCTCTCTCTGAAAAACAAGCATGGTCTCAGCCTTCACACACTCCCTCTGTGTATCAGAGAGGAGAATTATGTTTCTACTTGGCAACGGGGCCTTGCCCACATTACAGCTACTGCTGCCGCAGCCCAGATGAAGCAGCCTGGCCAGAGAGCTCAGACAAAGGGACAGGCATGAGCAAGCTTCCCTCACATGGCCGCGCACATGGTCGCCGCAGAGTGCCAAAGTCTACAGGGGAGTCGGGAAAACAGCTGCAGGAAGGGAGCCATATTTGTCCATTTAAATCCTAGCATATGCAGGCATTTAGAAATAAAAGTATTTCGTATTCCACTAACACATGATTTTTCATATGAACTACAGAGGAATTTTTATAATACGGATTGTCTAGAATAATTGATAACCCTGAGACTCTTGAATTCAGCTGAATGCATTATGTGATCTTTTTGGCAGCAGATTCATTTTCCTACCCTGCAGTGAAGGCAATTTTTCTAATGCCTCTTTAATAGGGAGATTTACAGAGGCATAAATAGCAGAATAGAAACCCCAATGTGTAGCCACATTTTAGGAATTAAACCCACTAAGACAGAGCAAATGCAGGCCTGGTTAGGAAACAAGAAGGCCTGAGTTTCAAGCAATGGTTTCTCACTAATTTTCTGTTTCACCTTGAGTATCACCTACATGATCTAGACCCTAATTTCTTGAGAAAAATAAAAGATTTGGACAAGATAACTTACGAAGTCCTCTCATCGCTAAAATTGCACATTATGAGTCATCAGGAGGAAACAGGTGGACCAATGCCATTATTATACAGAAAAAGTTCTTTGCTAATTGGAGCTGGGAACTCTTAACATCCAGTCTAGGACCTGCCTTCTGAACTGGCACTCTGTTCTCATTAAAGGAACTTGAAAATAGATTCTTGTTTACTTTTGATTACTGTTAAAAAAAACAAAACCTTAGAGATACTAACTTTCAAATCATTTTCACATTTATCATCTTTTTGTACTTCATATCAACCCTGAAGTTTGGCATTATTATTTTAATGATAATTTTATTACAGACATAAAAAATTGAGGTTTGCAATCTGATGAGTCACTTTCCAATTGTCATATGCTAGTAAATTACAGCTGAAGTCCCCAGTGTTCTTTCCAATCTGAGTCCCTGATGGAGGTGATAGCAGGTCCTTTATTAGAGACCTGGGTCCCTTCACACTTCAGCTATATTTGACACTGTGTGATATATTGATTCAAAAGGGTTCTTTTGGCTTGGTGCTCGTAGCACAGTGGTGACGGCACCAGCCACATACACTAAGGATGGCATGTTCGAGCCTGGCCGGCCCGGGCCAGCTAAACAACAATGACAACTACAACAAAAAATAGCTGGGCATTGTGGTGGGCACCTGTAGTCCCAGCTACTTGGGAGGCTGAGGCAAGAGAATTACTTAAGCCCAAGAGTTGGAGGTTGCTGTGAGCTGAGACACCACAGCACTCTACCGAGGGTGACATACTGAGACTCTCTCTCAGAAAAAAAAAAAAGGTGGTTTTTTTTTCTTTTTGCTACCTATTTAATGTTTATAGCTATTAAAAATGGAGACAGAGGTTGGGCATGGTGGCTCATACCTGTAACCCTAGCACTTTGGGAAGCTGAGGTGGGAGGATTGCTTGAAGCTAGGAGTTTAAGACCAGTGTGAGCAAGAGTGAAACCTCATCTCTACAAAAATTAGAAAAATTAGCCAGGCATGGTGGTGTACATTTATAGTTCCAGTTACTCAGGAGGCTGAGGCAGGAAGATTGCTTGAGCTATATTGATCCCATAGCACTCTAGCCTAGGCAACACACTGAGACTCTGTTTCAAAAAAAAAAAAAGAAAAGAAAAGAAAAACAAAGAATGGAAATAGAGGGTAAGCTAGGATGGGAGGAGATCTTCATCTCCTTGGTCAGTTGGTCAGTGGGTACACAAATACAGCTAGATAAGAGGATTAAATTCTAACACAGCAAGATGATTATAGTTAATAATTTATTTTATATTTCAAAATAGAACAGAAGATCTGAAATGCTCATAACACAAATAATGGCTAACTACTAGAGGAGATGGATATCCTAATTACCCTAATTTAACTATTACACATTGTATGACTGTATCAAAATATCACAAGTTACCGATAACTATGTAAGATTATGTATCAATAAAAATTATTTTTCAAAAAAGAATAGAAGATAAAGAAAATTAAATAAAACCTCCCTCAAGTTGCCTGTAATCTAATTGGGAAAGTGAGACCTGTTGAAAACTGATCTGACTTCACCTGCAGCCTATAATCTTTCTCCCCCTCTAATCCCATTTCTCCAGCATCTGTACATTTGAGATGATAACAGAGCAACAGGCTAATTCATTTGGGAAAATTATCAGCAGGTATACCTCAGTAACCCAAGAACAAAAGCCACCATTAGCCAGACGCTTACCTTAGAATGCTGAGTGTCTGAGCTCCATAAGTAGGGGCATGCTCCAGCACAGAAGTTAGCTTGGTAGCCTCGAGGCTGATGGATCCACTTCCACCCAAGATCTTTCTTGAAATCAATGTAAAGTGGACGTACACAGCAATTATCCTGCACATTTCTGTTGAAAAAGAAAAAGAGCAATAGTGACTTGAAAGCTGACTTACCACACCACCCCGTCCTTGCCTCACCACAAACCAGAAAACTGACTCATTCATTCCTTCCCCAAACACCCAATGAGCAAATTATCATGAACCAGATCTTAAGGGTTTTATTATAAGCTGAAGTGACTTCCATGATGGGGCGTTATGACGATTTTCTAGACTGCCTTCTTTTATGAGCTCTATGCCCTGACTCGCTTGTCTGTGACCTAAAAAGTCAAACCTTTACTATCGAATGACTAGTTATAAGCAGAGAGTGGCTGGGAGGGACCAAAGCTTTTCAGGCAACATGGGCAATTCTGCCATCCAACCTCGATTGCCCTTCCAAAAATAAGATGAATAAAGTACAACAGCAATTTTCAAAGAACTATCTAAGGCACTTTCCTTTGAGAATAGGTATTTATTTCATTGTACCTTCCTTGACCTAGGAATGAACCAGAGATTAGGAGACATGGAGTCTTGGCAATCAAAAACTGCCACTTTACTTGTGAACTCTGACACTTGGAGCGCTCTATAAGTGAGGACCTTGAACTGTCCCATAAGTTTCAAAGAAAACGCCCTTCTCTTACCAAACTGAAACCACAGAAGGACACTCACAGTTTCCCTGCATAAACTCCTATGGGAATGGGGAAATACTCATACACTCTATTCTGTAGCTAAAGACCCAACAAATAGCATGCTTCTGCTGTCCCATCTCTGTCACTGTGAAAGAGGTACAACTGTGGCCCTCTGCAATGAGAGTGAAGGCTTCATAAGATGCTGAGTGTTCCTTAACTGAGGGGTCGCCATCATGCACCTCAAATTAACTTGCATTTGTTCCAGGGTCATTTTCTTCTTCAGCACCAAAGTACTTCAGAAGAATTTAGGGGAAAAAGATCAGAGGGCTCGTGTTCCCCCGTCACACCCGGTTCATTGCTCAAGGGCTGACTAATAGCACAACGCGGAGATAACTGTTTTAAGGCTCTGGGAAGAATGAGGCTATGACATGTAAGATCTATCCTGAATCTGACCCGGCCTTAAACAATGGGCTCCCTTCAGGTCATTAGGTGCTAGAAGAGAGGGAAAAGGCAGTACAGGAGGTAACAGATGCAATTACTGTGTTTTTAGTTCCTTTACCTAAAGCAATAGGCCTCGTCCAAAGCACGCTTCTTCCGCCGGTTGCTCTGTTGTGACTCAAGTCTGTAGGAGGGCAACAACATTAGCAGGAGATGTGGGGTCTTCCCACTGTTTTTTTTCCTAGTGGACTTTATAGTTTTCTGATCACCACTGGTATATGTGGAGGTGCCATCAATACCTTGAAAAAATGCATTTGAGTAATAAACATTTAGCTTTACCTTCATCAAATATAATCAGCCATATTTTTTTTCCTTTATATATTGTCACAAATAGCCGTGATGACCACTGTGGGAGCATCAACTAGCTATCATCATTTCCCAGGGAAATACAGAAGGCACAACAGGACTCTCACACGTGACAATTAACACGTTTAAATGGGGCTCTTGTCAGAAGGCAGTTAGTTCACTGTCAAAGGCAGGGCTGCCTGTTATGAAAGTCACTACAGAAGAAGCCTTCGACCTTGAGTCCAGGGACAATCTAGGGAGTTTATTTTAGTCAACCCTCAGTTTAGCCTGTGTTCAAACCCTCAACAACTGAACACACAGCAATGGAACACGCCTTGTCACCCGCTGGTTCACACTCTTCTTAAGACTCCTAAACTCCAAAGACTTCCCTAATGAACATAAACTGAGACTTAGCTAAATTGCAGCGAATTGGGTTCAAGTGAAACAGAAGTCACCCTTACCTAATGCTATTTTGGGAAGCTGTGAAGAAAGGGCTTTTTCATTTATTTTATGGCATCCTCAACACTTTCCTGATTCCATGTGAGATTTAGAAACTTGAGCTTCCCAAAGCATGCTCAGGAGACTACCAGTTTAAGCATTTAATCTCCACACTCCAGAGAATCATGACTAGGTTAGAGACTTAAATAAATCTCTAGGCCTCTGGGAGTATTTTTTGCATGAGCAAGGGCCACTGTAGCTTTCCAAAAGAGGATGGAAATCCCAGGTGATGTTAGTAGGGCAGAGAAATCAACTCCCTGGCCAGGCACTGCGGGCTGGTGCTGCACCAGCGCTGGGACACAGATGTTCCTCTCACTTCTCGTCACCTCACCAGTCAAAATCTAATACAGGAAGTGACTTGTATCCTTGGCACCTCTTCATTCTCCCTGACTTTTGGCTAATTCACTTAAAGGTGTGTATGGGGAAAATTGAAACTTTTTAAATGTGTTTATAAATGACAGGGTGTCCTAAAGTTTGCCATATATATCTTCATAGAGAAAAATGGGAAACTGTAGCTAAATGTACCTTGATTTACAAAATAGCCGTCACAAAATTTTACAAAATATTTATAAAGTATTTATTTCTCTATATGTTGATACATTAAATGTAAACATATAACAGAATACGAAATATGAGTTTGTTAATTCTTTCCATTTATGGCAACTTTGGGATACCCTGGATCATAAACGTCTGAGAAGGAAGGCACTTGAGATAGTGAGTACGGGCTAGAAAAGGTGGAATGCTCTAAAAATGGAAGGCTAATTATGGAAGCCATGGAACTAAATATTGTTTTTGGTTGCTGCCATCTGGCTTGGGGATTATCACTGGATTTCCTTTAATGCACACTGTTTTCTTCTATCTCAGTGTAGGAAGAAAGTTGGTTTGCAAAAATGAACAATATACATCTCCACTGACCATTTAATGGTTTGGAGGGTTAGTGAGTCAGTCAGTACTGACAGCATCGTTTCTGGGCATCTGATCGTATATATAAAGTGGGACTCTATCTCCCTTCTTTCAATCCTTTTTTCCCCTTCGTACACCTTTTCCAATCATATCACTGTTCAAACAAATGAAACTCCTCAGGCCTCACCAAACAATCTCATTTTCACATGCAAATTGATTTAATCCTCCATGCGATTATCAACATAGGCCCTTCCCTCCCCCATCTCAGATGATCAATCACGTTTCAGTTACCTGCAAATCTTGCTTCTAATTCTTCGCTTTTATTTGGAATGATGTAATTATTTGATGGTACAAAAGTACAGCAGGGACAATGTAAACTTATCTTAAATCCCAGGTTCCTGTCTGGAAAACATTAAATCAAGGACGTCATTTGTACGTGTATCTATACCCTTAAGTCTGCAATCAATTTACAATAACTTAAGGCTACTGAACAACCGGGGAGGAAAAGAGAGCGTGGTTTGTAACCTTTATGGTGAAGCCATTCGTGGACAGCATCAGTCACATCAAAGGACAGCCACTCGCCCTCTGCTCGCGTTTTCACGACTTTGCTGTCTATGTAGCGCTGAGTTGGAGACGTTAAATCTTTGGATTTGAGAATCTAGACGGGGAAAGGGTAAGAGAAAAAGCTCAGTTGGCACCCTGACAGCATGACTAACCCCAAACCTTGAACAGTATTCCTATTCATTATCTAAATTTAGCTCCACTGTAGTCTATCCATGCATTGTTGTCTCAATAGCACGGCCACATGCTTAAAAACATAACAGCAGGCCACTTGCTGTGGAAAATAGAGCTACTAAATCAGCTCCGTGTTATGATAAAGGTGACGGGAACCATAAAGCCAAGCGTCTAAAAGAAAGTGACAGTAGTTATTTTACTTTGCTGACATAAGCTTGCAAGATTTCAGCTATAAATTCTAGGCTATTAAGTTAATGGCTTTGTTATTCTGCCTCTCTACTTACTTAATTTGGGGAGCTGGGGTACAGGGATGGACAGGAGGAGAGGCCCAATTCAGAGGACCATGCTCCCCCTCCAAGGCTCTGAATTATAAATCTCCTTCGAATAAAGACAGAATGGTCCTAACCTTGGTTCTTAAATCCACTGGCATTTAAATATGTGTCATGCCTCAGCTTTTGAGGTGACTTAGGATTTTTACTGTTGATGGGACTTGTTATGATTTATAAAGATAGTCTATATCCTGCAGACTGAAGATGAATTTGGGCAGGAATAATCTGGCATGGTGGCTAGAGGACTGTCTCAAAGCCTCTCAGCCTAGACACTGAGGCTTTAGAAAGACGCATTTATTTCAAATAAGGAGCAACTGCAGTATGTTCTTGCATTTCTATAGGAAATGAACACATTGGGTAGCTTTTAAAAAATCATATTTTGAGACAATAGTGTCTTATGAACCAAACCATAATCCTGAGGCTCCTAGCACTACAGTAAATCCCTACGTAAACCCTGAATCCTGCCTTCCCTCAGGACGTGGGGCTAAAGCCTTGTCAGTTTATGCTGCCTTTCCTGATAGTAAGACTAACTGTTTTGTGGTCATTTTATATGTATGAATTTGGTCTCTCCAACAAGTTCACAAACTTCCCCAGGTCAGAGATCATGTCTTCAATTTGTTATCATTTCAGAGCACAGCAATGAACTGAATCAATGCCTATTAAATAATTACTTGGCTTTCTAGATGATGCATTAACTACTTTCCTTTAAAGCTTATAAAACAAACATGCATCATCTTCTCATTGATTTTAAAAGGCATTTTCCCTCCATGTGCACATGATTTGTTTCAGGTAATTTGGCAATAAACACTTCCTGAAATATTGTTATTACAGTAGACTGTTTCTCTGGATTAAGTACAGAAAAGGGAAGAGATTCATATAATTGGACTCTTGGGTGTCCTCATGAATTTTAGACGAATGCTGTTGTACAGAGCTGCTCCAGTGGTTCATGGCGCCGCACTAAAAGAAGAGACTGTGAAGGTAATGGTGATTGCATCAGAGGCAAGAAATGCTCCCTGTGAATAACGAAAGCAAACAGACAGGACTTGAGGGTTGAGCACACTGGGTTCTGGGAAAGCCATACATTATTTAATTTAATCCTAAAAATATTCCTGTAGCTAGATCAAGGAAACTCAGGGAGATTAAGTAACTTTCCCCATGTCTCACGGTGAACAAGCGTGGAGAGGAGATTCAGAGCAATCCCAAGTCACCTTCCCACTTCAGTGCTGGATTTCTGAAAGCCAACAAAGTTGTGGGACTCAGAATTGGACCCTTAACCCTTTCCAGATGGCAGAAAATAATTCAACGATAGCAGCAAAGATTTTTAAATAAGATTAAAACCAATATTGGTACAAGATGAAAATATAACATGGTGGAATGTACATACAATGAATGCTGACATAAGGCTGTAACTTTCAAGATAGAGCTTAACAGCAGTCAAGCCTCTGGGAGTCAACTCTTGCCTTGCAAATACTCCCAGTTGGACAAAACAGACACCACTTATCCAATTCAGAATAAATGGCATAATTACCCTAATGTGGGATAACAAGGATAAAACAATGGTTGAGAAGAGGTTTTCAGGCATTTCCATCTTGCCTCATTGGCTAAAAATTAATAAGATACATGGTATTCATTCTTCTGTCCTTCAGTTCTTCCCCTGATCTTCCATAGTGATGCCGTATTACATAATGCTCTGCAGATTAGCTGTGCTCCCCCTTAGCGTGGCATGTGTCCTACTCATCTTCATACAGCTAACACTTAGACACACTACCTACAATGAAACATCAGTTTATTTTATTTATTTATTTATTATTGCAATTTTTGACCGGGGCTGGGTTTGAACCTGCTACAGCCGGCGCCCTACTCCTTTGAACCACAGGTGCCGCCCAGTTTTATGAAACATCGATGAAACATCAGTTTCATTGTTGAGTTAATTATATATGATATAGGCAGCTCATACAGCAAATGTCTATGATATCTATATACACACATATAGGTATATATATTCAGTCTCACTGAAGACACAGAATTTTCTTTAAGAAATCATGACCATATTAATCAAATGGGCAAGAAAAACACAATCAAATCTATGGACATTCTCCACCTTATAGAAAAGGAGTAAGTCTAGATTATCTTTCTTTAAATAGAGGCCAAAAGGAGGCAAAGAGATTCTGAAGCTTTTCCCCTTTTTCCTAAATGACTTAGAGATAAGGGCTTTCTCAACCACAGAGCACTGGTAGGCTCAGACAATGGACTTCGTACTCCCACTTGGGTGAAAGGTCTTCTGGAGATTTTTACCAGTTTAATAACAGGCCACCTACAACCACTTAATAAAGACAGTTAGTTAGCTACATAATTCTGAAATACAGAAGTGACTTTGGTCTTGTGGTTTTATTGTCTCAAACGTCATGGTCAAAGAGTTCTTAAACACACTTGTTGCAATTTAACTCCATTCTTCTTACCCAGTCCTTACTGGAAACAGGAAACAGCTGCTTTTCATCACTCAGAGAACATCCCTCATATTCTTGGAGGCTATTATTAAGGCCCCCTCAGCGTGCTTACTTGCTCTCTCTAAGCTAAATAAACCCGGTTCCTTAGACTATACTTAGGGGGGTGATTTCCCAAACCTTCAATCACTTAGGTCACTAGCAAGGATGAATGATGTGATATAAAAGTATTCCTCCTACTGCATCGTGATTTCACTTCAAAACTGTCTAGAAACCCTCTAATCATGACTCGAAGTCTTGAATCTTAACAGAAAGGTATCTTCTTCCTAAGAATAGACACAGCCTTCCTCTTCCCTATCTCTCATTTCTCACCCACACGAAGCTGAACCATAAGAGAAGGCCTGAGAAATCAACCTGCTACAAGTGTCCATTAGTGCTTTCTTAAATTCACCAGTTTATTTTGATCAGATCAGTCAACTTCCCGTTCTATTTTAGCCTTTGCTGTCTGTCTTCCTCCAGTCTCTAAACAATAGGGTGCTAAATGTTAACAGTCATGGATAAGCAGCTGTTGGCTTATTTTAGATCCAGTCATTTGCTCCTAAAGTTCTTTATACATCTTATTATGACAAAGATAATTTAGTTGACAATAGAAGGTCTCTTCACAGGGCTCCATTTTACCAGTCAGATTAACCAGGATTCTCTGCTCATTCTGTGCTCAGTATCTTAGCTGATGCCCACAGCACATGAGGAATCCTTGCCAGAATGTTTATCTCCAAGCACTTCTGGTCTTCCCAGTTGAGTTGTATGCTTAGCAAATATCAATTGTACACAGTTTAAAATGTTTTCATGACATTTATACTTGTTGCTGTAATTATATAAGTTATTTAAATGGTATAGAAACTCATGAATGTATAGGGACAAAAGTAAAGAGAAATGATTCTTCTATGAAAATCAAGATGAATGTCTTGCAAAGTCTTCGTGAAAGATGGAGTTGCTGTAAGGAAGAGAGTTTTTTGGAAAACGGTTTGGCAGGTCTTCAAAAGATAAACATAAAATTACCATATAATCCAGAAATTCCAATCCTAGGTCTATACCTCAAAAAAACTGAAAGTGGAGACTCAAACAGACACTTGTCCACTAAGGTTAGCGGCAACATTATTCAGAACAGCCAAAAAGTGGAAGAAGCCTGTGCCCATCAACAGATGAATGCACAAAAAAATGAAATATCTTCACAGGTGGAATATTATTCAGACATAAAAAGGAATAAAATTCTGATACATGCTACAACATGGATGAACTTCGAAGCCAGGGACAAAAGGACAAACATTGTATGATTCCACATACATGTAGTACCCAGAATAGGCAAATTCATAGAAAGCAGAATAGAGGTTACCGGAGACTTCAGAGAGTAATGAGGAGTTAGAGTTTAATGGGTACAGAGTTTCTGTTTGGGGTAAAAAAAAAAAATGTCTTGGAAATGAATAGTGGTGATGACTATACAATATCACGAACATATTTAATGCCCTTGAGTTGGATACTTGAACAATAGTTAAAAGGTAATTTTTATGTGTATATTTTACCACAGTAAATTTTCTTTTTCAAAGTTTAGATGTGATAGGTAGCTATAAAAACTAATACGATAAAAATCTAGAAGGATCCTGCAGTCTGGTTGCTCAGCAATTGTCCTTACATTTTTCTCCCTACTACAAAGAAAGTAAGAATTAGAAATTGAGAAGGGACACAGAGAAAGGGGCCTCCAGGGGGACAGGAGGGAAGCCTGGTCTCCAGAAGAACGAGGGCATGAGGTAACCTAGGTACCAATGACCATTAGAAAAAGACAATAATCGATGACCAATACAAAAGAGCAATAATTCCTGGAGAATTATCAGATAGGAAAGAATTAGAAAAGCAAGAAACTTTCCCTTTGTTCTTAAATGAAATTTCTCTTTGTCGCACTGAAATCTGGGCAGGTCACTTTTGCTCTCCACTCACGCTGTTTGTGCTGCTCTGGTTTTAATTTTCTGTTTCCATTCTTTTCTGCTTTCAATGACCTCCGTGCCTCAGTTGAACTTTCTGGCTCAGCCAAGTAATCGAACCAGGTCAACGGGGTATGGGGAACCGGGACCCCTGACCCTCGACAGAAATCACAG